TCAATGTAGACAGTGGCCAATACAATCTCTGTTTGGTTTTCACCAATCTGCCCCTCTATGTTTAGCCAACCTTCGAAGGATGAGACTAGGGGGCACCTTTAATGCCACAATAAACTAGTGCCACGATGATTATCAAACAGGAATCGCCCTCCCTTTATGAAGAGAGGGTTGACTGTTGATGAAGCTCATTCTACGGGCGCCTTCTCTACATTCCATTTACCCCCAATGAGTTTTCAAGTGGACAACAGAGCTTTTCCGCCTTCTCTGGAAAAACCTGGATACAGACGGTTCGGTCCTGGGGCTTTCTCGTTTTTAAGATGTCGCCTCCTTTCCTCCGATGGGTAATTGAGGGTCACATCCAACTCTCGCATATGAACTGTCCCCAAGGTATGTTAAAGCAAGCTGGATGAATGTTCTTCAAAATGATCGACCTATCTTTCCAATCGTTCTTTTTACGAATGCACCGCTAGGCCTTTTTTACCTGCGTCTCACTGACGGTTGTTTTCCCTTGTTAAGTCGGTCTAGTCTCCTGAACGTTCATCTTCCACCAGAGTCATTGGTTTTCCCTAAACTATTTACCCTTTGGTGTTTAGGGAATTTGTGTGCACAGTTGGGTGCACTGATGATGTCTCCTCATATAGCGACGAAACGTTTGTAAGTCGATTGGGAAGCTCGGCGGACAGATCAACAGCCGTCGTATTCGTTGCCTGTTTGGTATGGATTTCCTAGCAGCGAACCCGATGACATCCAGTGGTCATTTGGTCGTGCAGGAGATAGTAATTACGGTAATAATATTGTTAATAGTGATAATGGTCGTTCAGCTGTAACGCCACTTCGGCGTCTAGCTGCCATGCTGACCGAAGGAAGAAAGAGAGCTGAGACACAGGCCAGGTTGCCCAGTCAGTCGAGATGCTGAGGGTGGGTTCAAACCACGAAACTTCCGGTCAGTAAGTTCGCGCCTTAACCAATGAACTATCTCGAGCTACATCATACCGCAGAAGCCGGGCGGATAGCTTCGAAGGCAGCTAGCGTGGGTCCTTTTACATTTTGTGATGCTACTTCCACGTGTTCTGGAGTACGCAGACGAAATCGCCCTCACTTTTGAAAACCAAGGCGCAGCACAAGCTCTGTTGAATAAACTTACCATCATTATTCCTTCCTTCGGCACACGGCTAGCACCTTCAAGATGCAATCATACTTCAGGACATGCAGACTCTGAACATACCCTGTACAATTTGAGGAGGATCACTGGAGGCTGTGGAGAATTTTACATACATCGGTAGTTGTATTAGCTCTGACAGAAGTATCTGGTGAAGTCGGAGCACGAATGCCAACGGCCAGAATTATGCTTGTCAATTTTTGTCAATTTTGGCGTCCGTTGGGTCTAAAGGGTTGTATCCCAGGCAACAGTAAAGGCTGTACTGTTGTATGGTTGTGAAATATGGCCTCGGCGGACAGATGATATGAAGCGTCTTCAGGTTTTGGACCACAGATACCTCATAAGCGTTACTGGTGTCGGATGACATCAACGAATTAGTAACGAAGTGATTAGAAAACAGGTGTTTCGTTGCGTGGCAAGTGGTTCGATCGTGGAAAACGTCCAGTAACAACAATGGTGGCTCGGCCACGCGTTACGCATGCCAAAACACCGTCTACTGAGAATACTGTTGTTCTCTGTACCTACTTTTGAATGGCGCACACCGCGAGGTGGACAACGTATGTCTTTAAGAGTGCCAGAGTATGAAGAGTTTGGGTGTTGTTGGTGCAGTACGCCTTCTAGTATGGGGTCCCAGTGATCCCACCTGCACTTGGCTGGAGGCATTGCGGGAAATGGTGGCTGAAGGATTCCAGTGGTGTTCGTGCTGTCAGTTTCCTTCCAGATTGTCTGACAGAGCGCTTGGAGGTGTAGACGCTTCAGAAAGATTGCGGTAAGCCAGTACCAGGTACCCTTCTCTTTCATCTTTCTTTTTTAATGACTTTGGATATGATTAGATAAACTTTGTGGTTGTGCGGCAGTGAAGCATCAGTGTCGAAGCAGATATTGCTGCCTCTGATGACGATGGTGATGATGGATGCCCGCGATGGCCCCTGAGATTCGTGCATTGACTTCGTTTGCCACATTGCGGTCACAGCGAATGCAAAGTTCGAGTAAGGAGGAGGACTTAAACTGGTTATGATACTGGATCTGAAGTGAGTGGAAGACTTCCGAAAGAAAATAGCTTCTGCTGCTAGACCCATGTGGATTATTAAGTCATTCACACAAGTAAACACAGCATCGCTACGCTTCCTGGAAATGTGTTCATATTGGCAGCTCGGGTGAGTTCACTGGTTGTTGAGCCAGTGGCGGTTTGAGTTGTCTGAACAGTATATCATCGGTATATCAACGGCTATTAACTCTAAGGGTGAGGTAACAGCTGCTTTGTTGGATGTATTCAAGGGAAAACGAGCCGCCCATCCGCCGACAGGAACCATCAATGGCCGTTGTATGGCACATTTCAACACTGTGCCTCATCTTGGAAAACGAACAGTAACCAGCGACACCCAGACTCTTCTGGGAGGGCAAAATTTGTCCCATTCTAAGCTTCCGTCACTCCGGCTTAAGCAGACACAAGGCATCGTCTTGGGTAGATGAGGACTGTACATCTTTGATTACAGTGCTGGATACAGTCCATAAGTGAAGTACCCACTGCATCACCAAATACCCAGTTTCCGAACACATTAAAATCGTTGGGCTGTAAAACCCTTCCGGTGCCTAGCTACCATGCTACCCGAAGGAAGCATGAGGGCTGGGATACTGTCAGGTTGCCCAAGTCCAGAGAGGGAAAGTCGAGAGGCAGAGGTCGGGTGCGAACCACGGACCTTCCGGTCAGTAACTTCGCGCTCTGACCAACTGAGCCATCTCGCCCCCATTACCCGTAATGGTCACATTTCGTAAGCGTACAATGCAAATTTCACGGTCTGAATCTCGTTGCTATTCTCGGGTAGATTTTCCACATGATCCCGCAAGGGGATGTGGAATAGGCGATGCAAAAAAGTCACATTACAACGGGAGTTAAGCCCATGCTCCTGTGATCACTACATTGACTACGGCATTCTCCGATTACTTCGATTACCAAAGGCCGTTTAAGGCCCGTTGTACGTAGCAGTCGGGTTCTTCGCCTCCTACTATTATTTTTTTAAAATCCAACAAGCTTCTCGACATTTCTATCCACGTCACATCTGACAATTCGGGTTGTGGTGTATCCTCTCTCTCGAGAAAGGCTAAACTTTTTCAAACATTCGGTGCTTGGATGTAGTCAGTGGCGCCGTACCACAAGCAGGGCATAGCATCTTGCAGAGTTGTGAACAGTAGTTTCCAGGAACGGTATCAGCATCGAAGGGCGCCCGATTTTGACAAATCTGTCTCACACTGAGGCGTGAGAGCGAGTTGTCTGCATCTTGAGTGCCCCTGAAAGGCACAATGAAAAGGGGCAACGGACAAGCACTCGTGATCAGAATGGGTAATTTATCTGGGCCGTTCACATCCGATGATGACGATGAGGTGGTTGAGATTGGCTCGTCTGCCGTGGCACCGCGAGGCCAAGCTGCAGGGGTTGTTTCGAGAGCACCACATAGAAAGTCTGGTCACCAAATAACTGCGACGGTCACCCACCACCGTCCGTCGGTCTCGAATTTCGTCCAAAATGATCACGGTAGAAAATAACACGTGATTAGCAGATGGAGAAGTAGAAGAGTTTAGCTGGGATACTGTCAGGTTGCCCAAGTCCAGAGAGGGAAAGTCGAGAGGCAGAGGTCGGGTGCGAACCACGGACCTTCCGGTCAGTAACTTCGCGCTCTGACCAACTGAGCCATCTCGCTCCCATTACCCGTAATGGTCACATTTCGTAAGCGTACAATGCAAATTTCACGGTCTGAATCTCGTTGCTATTCTCGGGTAGATTTTCCACATGATCCCGCAAGGGGATGTGGAATAGGCGATGCAAAAAAGTCACATTACAACGGGAGTTAAGCCCATGCTCCTGTGATCACTACATTGACTACGGCATTCTCCGATTACTTCGATTACCAAAGGCCGTTTAAGGCCCGTTGTACGTAGCAGTCGGGTTCTTCGCCTCCTACTATTATTTTTTTAAAATCCAACAAGCTTCTCGACATTTCTATCCACGTCACATCTGACAATTCGGGTTGTGGTGTATCCTCTCTCTCGAGAAAGGCTAAACTTTTTCAAACATTCGGTGCTTGGATGTAGTCAGTGGCGCCGTACCACAAGCAGGGCATAGCATCTTGCAGAGTTGTGAACAGTAGTTTCCAGGAACGGTATCAGCATCGAAGGGCGCCCGATTTTGACAAATCTGTCTCACACTGAGGCGTGAGAGCGAGTTGTCTGCATCTTGAGTGCCCCTGAAAGGCACAATGAAAAGGGGCAACGGACAAGCACTCGTGATCAGAATGGGTAATTTATCTGGGCCGTTCACATCCGATGATGACGATGAGGTGGTTGAGATTGGCTCGTCTGCCGTGGCACCGCGAGGCCAAGCTGCAGGGGTTGTTTCGAGAGCACCACATAGAAAGTCTGGTCACCAAATAACTGCGACGGTCACCCACCACCGTCCGTCGGTCTCGAATTTCGTCCAAAATGATCACGGTAGAAAATAACACGTGATTAGCAGATGGAGAAGTAGAAGAGTTTAGAGAAGATCGCCCACTGTTGTTTGGATAGGGTGCCAACGACTTCCCACCCGGCCTTAGTATTCGTGAAGTGTCTTCCACACGACCCGCTGTATTCTGTTAAGGAAAAGCGCTAGCCCCCGAAGCTATCAGTGACCTTGATTTTAGCGATGTCTATTACTTTTCTCAGTATCTAGACCATTGAATACCCAGCTGACTGACAAATGAATGGGGCGTTTCCAATCAACGGACGCTGAACTATCGAAGACATTGGTCACCGAATATTTCCGTACCAAATAATTAAAAATATCGAAGAACTGATGTGTCCTTACCCGACGGATGTCCGTGAGTATCTCCGTAACCGTCTGGTTGGGTTTTAATTGAGTGAGTCCTGCTGGAGTTCGAACGACGGGCGGCGGCGTGAATAGCTGCACAAGCCAGGTCCAGGTCCATAGGAACAGGTGGAGGGGATAAAACAAGCCTCTCGCATTCTTCAATTGAAAGGCTTCCACGGGATGTGCGTGAGCTAACCGGAACAGATCGATCCCCATCACAAAAATCTACAAAATTTAAGATCGTAAACATGTCGAACCTTTATGTTCTGGGTCCATGGGCATTACATTTCGATATATGTTCCTTGATTCTATTCTTCATACGAAACTCCACAGAAATTACCCTTAAGGGTGCNNAGAGCAATGGGAATCCGTAAAACCCAACACTTTTAAATCACGCGCGCTTATTACTCACCATTCAGTGCTGTATTTCAATAGACTTAGGAGGTTTGTGTGCGAGTGGGGGGCCTAAGGCGCATGGGCTAGATTCTTATGCTGTCGGATTATGGTTCCAGCTTAGAAGTGGTTGCACTAAGAAGGATCAGGATATATGGGAACTGACCATTTGCGACACTGGATTCCAACGGGGTCGGTGGTAAACAGCGTTGAGGGATCGAGTAAACACCATGATGGTTTATTCGAAGGATTGGGCAGCGTAACAGGTATGAAGAGTGAAGAGACTAGTCCGAAGAGAATGTCACAAGCGTATTGCCTTAATGAACTGAGGAAAGAGGTGAAACCATCCTCTTTTAGAGGTTCAATCTTGAGGGGAAATGCCAGGGTTGAGTAAGCGCCTTTCTTCACTTTTGGTCTTTCCGTTTTAGAAGGGTTTGTGACAGTGAGTTTATGGAAAAGCATAGAAATCATCAGCAGAAAACATGTTGTAGGTGTGTATCACGCACTTTCGTAACCTCTAGCGTTCAAAGGTGAGCAGATAAAGTGGCATAATTCGGTGGCGGCAAAAAATTTATAACTGGTGTCTCACCAGTCGCTTGACGAAGGCCGCCTTGCCTCTGCTTGGAAGGAAACGATTGTCACGCCAATCTACAAAACTGGTGACCGACTGTCGCCTGGCAGCTACAGGGCTATAATTCTTACCAGTGTGCCATGCAAGGTGATGGAACACATTCTGAAGCGAGCTGCCTTAGACCATCTTACTTCCAGCAACCTGATATCTCCAGCTCAACACGGATATCTCCCAGACCGTCCTTGCGTGACAAACATGCTCGTGTTTATGGACAGCTTAACCCAAGCCAAGGACGGAGGACTCATATCGGATGCCATATTTTTTGACTTCTCAAAAGCATTTGATAGGGTCCCATACGTCCCGCTGCTCCACAAACTCCAGTCTTACGGGATTCAAGGAAAGATCCTTCGCTTGATCAAGGCGTTCCTATCAGACAGATCATTCCGAGTGAGAATAAGTTCGACCTACTCTTCTCCACCGCCGGTCCCCATTGGGGTTACTCAGGGCTCCGTCCTGGGACCAGTGCTATTTCTGATCTACGTCAACGACCACCCAGGTGTTCTTGCGGGTCCATGTCTACTTCTTGCGGACGACTTGAAATCCTGGAGTACCGATGCCAGTGCCCTTCAAATGGATGTAGACGCTGCCAAGCGGTGGTCGTTGGACTGGCACTTTCCTCTGAATGACGAAAAGTGCGTCCATATATCGTTTGGAGGAGACTCGGCGAGTGCCTTTGTTATGCACGGTGAGAAAGGACCAGAAAACAGCATGAGGGTAGACGCCAAAAAGGATTTTGGCATCTGGGTCTCCTCAAACTTGTCCTTCTCGCTGCACCAAGGGAAATCAGCCCAAAAGGTATTCGCCATTTTACGGATGCTCCGACGCATTTTCTCCCGTATTACTCGCATGGACTTTCAAATATTCTATGGGGCCTATGTCAGACTGCTCCTGGAATACGCCAACCAAGTTGTCTACTCAGGACGCACGAAAGACCGCACCCTCATCGAGCGTGTCCAGCGAGCCGCTACGAGAATGGTTGCCGGCCTTAAATCCGTGGACTACGAAACGCGTCCCGTGATGCTTCATCTCTTTCCCCTGGAGCACCGTCGCCTCCCAGGGGACCTAATTCTTACTTATGCCCTGTTTGAACAAAGCTTGGCAAACAGGTTTTTCACCCTTGAACCAGCAAACAAACGGCGGGGACATAGTAAGAAAATTTTCAAGCTCAGAGCACACATATTCATTAGGCAAAATGTTTTCTCATTTCGGGTAGCAGGTGCGTAGAACGGCCTTCCTCCGACGGTTGTTCACGCTCCTTCCAGAACCCCGTTCAAAGCACTATTAGACACTTATTTATGCGAATCCTCGCGCTGGAGAGCATACTGCCCCGCCCTGAGAACATAAGGAGCAGTACTACACCCTTTTTTCATTAGTGTCTTTCAGGTGAGCATAGTATAGTAAGAAAATTTTCAAGCTCAGAGCACACATATTCATTAGGCAAAATGTTTTCTCATTTCGGGTAGCAGGTGCGTAGACTTCCTCCGATCCGACGGTTGTTCACGCTCCTTCCAGAACCCCGTTCAAAGCACTATTAGACACTTATTTATGCGAATCCTCGCGCTGGAGAGCATACTGCCCCGCCCTGAGAACATAAGGAGCAGTACTACACCCTTTTTTCATTAGTGTCTTTCAGGTGAGCGGCAGCGAAAGAAAGGCAAAAATAAAAGGGCCCCGGGAAACGTGGGCATAAGCCTCGAGCCTGTGTGTCATTTCTATCCTCCCCTTTGGGAGGTGCATTGTCGTGGGCATAAGCCTCGAGCCTGTGTGTCATTTCTATCCTCCCCTTTGGGAATAGGGTGCATTGTACTCAATCGAACCTAATTAAGACTTCAAACATGATAGAGTGCTGTGGATTAGTGTGAAGCCTCTGGTTGAAATGCGATGCTGGTGTTCATCAATATCAACAAAACCACAAGTTATCGCCTCCTTCCGAAGTGACTCACGGATTCACGGATTCACGAATTGACACACAGGCTCGAGGCTTATGCCCACGTTTCCCGGGGCCCTTTTATTTTTGCCTTTCAGCAGCTGCCGCTCACCTGAAAGACACTAATGAAAAAAGGGTGTAGTACTGCTCCTTATGTTCTCAGGGCGGGGCAGTATGCTCTCCAGCGCGAGGATTCGCATAAATAAGTGTCTAATAGTGCTTTGAACGGGGTTCTGGAAGGAGCGTGAACAACCGTCGGAGGAAGGCCGTTCTACGCACCTGCTACCCGAAATGAGAAAACATTTTGCCTAATGAATATGTGTGCTCTGAGCTTGAAAATTTTCTTACTATGTCCCCGCCGTTTGTTTGCTGGTTCAAGGGTGAAAAACCTGTTTGCCAAGCTTTGTTCAAACAGGGCATAAGTAAGAATTAGGTCCCCTGGGAGGCGACGGTGCTCCAGGGGAAAGAGATGAAGCATCACGGGACGCGTTTCGTAGTCCACGGATTTAAGGCCGGCAACCATTCTCGTAGCGGCTCGCTGGACACGCTCGATGAGGGTGCGGTCTTTCGTGCGTCCTGAGTAGACAACTTGGTTGGCGTATTCCAGGAGCAGTCTGACATAGGCCCCATAGAATATTTGAAAGTCCATGCGAGTAATACGGGAGAAAATGCGTCGGAGCATCCGTAAAATGGCGAATACCTTTTGGGCTGATTTCCCTTGGTGCAGCGAGAAGGACAAGTTTGAGGAGACCCAGATGCCAAAATCCTTTTTGGCGTCTACCCTCATGCTGTTTTCTGGTCCTTTCTCACCGTGCATAACAAAGGCACTCGCCGAGTCTCCTCCAAACGATATATGGACGCACTTTTCGTCATTCAGAGGAAAGTGCCAGTCCAACGACCACCGCTTGGCAGCGTCTACATCCATTTGAAGGGCACTGGCATCGGTACTCCAGGATTTCAAGTCGTCCGCAAGAAGTAGACATGGACCCGCAAGAACACCTGGGTGGTCGTTGACGTAGATCAGAAATAGCACTGGTCCCAGGACGGAGCCCTGAGTAACCCCAATGGAGACCGGCGGTGGAGAAGAGTAGGTCGAACTTATTCTCACTCGGAATGATCTGTCTGATAGGAACGCCTTGATCAAGCGAAGGATCTTTCCTTGAATCCCGTAAGACTGGAGTTTGTGGAGCAGCGGGACGTATGGGACCCTATCAAATGCTTTTGAGAAGTCAAAAAATATGGCATCCGATATGAGTCCTCCGTCCTTGGCTTGGGTTAAGCTGTCCATAAACACGAGCATGTTTGTCACGCAAGGACGGTCTGGGAGATATCCGTGTTGAGCTGGAGATATCAGGTTGCTGGAAGTAAGATGGTCTAAGGCAGCTCGCTTCAGAATGTGTTCCATCACCTTGCATGGCACACTGGTAAGAATTATAGCCCTGTAGCTGCCAGGCGACAGTCGGTCACCAGTTTTGTAGATTGGCGTGACAATCGTTTCCTTCCAAGCAGAGGCAAGGCGGCCTTCGTGAAGCCACTGACGAAACATCAGGTGTAAATTATTTGCCAGTGTGCTGGTCATTTCTTTCAGTATCCTTTGTTGGACCAGTTCGGTGTGTTTGTTTCTTCTTGCGTATTTCATGTTTTATATTAAATGTTGGTTTTTTACTTCTATTTCTTTGCCACAATTTTGGTAAATTGGCTTGCTTGGGTGGCCAGACCACTGCACCCGTTAGGTGGAGGGTTAGTTTTGCGCGTAGTTTATATTTTCATCACCAGTTCCGGAATTTGGTCCACATACTTCATCGCCTTCTTCTGCTTTGAGCAGTCACTTTCAGATGCCGCGTTCCCATAGATGCTCCTTTAAGTCTATCAGGGCTTTTGCTTCACAGAATATGTTACTGTAATGACCCGCGCCACGGATATTTTAATGTCTTCAAGCTCGGAATACACACTTATTTTGCGTTATTTCCTTTTTGAGAAATTGGTGTATGGAATGACCTCCTTCCTATGGTTATTAACCCTGCTTGTAGTGCCCAGTTCAAAGGATTCGTCGATTCTCTATTTGGGCCCTTGTGTGGGCAATTCACGGATTCATGGGTCGATACATAAGACCAAGGCTTTCGCCAATGTTTTCCCGATCGAGTTTTTCTTCTGTAGATGCAATTTTATAAGAGCGAAAGACAAGGAATTATTTATCAGGTTGTGATAAAAGCATCATCCCGTTTTTGTCAAACAATCGTTAGTCATGCCGCACTCCTTGCACCAGTGCCCTCCAGTATACAGCTTTCAGATACAACAAACGATATCTTATACCTTATTCAACACCTCGCCAAACATAGATGACCTTCACGAAGTTGATGGATTGATACAGGGGAGCGATTCACGGATTTCGTATGGACCGAAATTTTCGTCCAAGTTTCTCGGGTCAGTTTTGTTGTAGTCGCTCAGCGGCTGCACTTCACCTGAGAGGCACAAGCGAAAAAGAGTACAGCACTGCTCTTCAAGCTCTCAGTGCCGAGCAGTAATTTTGCCGGCGCGAGGTCTCAGCTGAAAAGGCGTCCATAAGTTCTTTCGACTAGGTGCTAGATGGAACGCGAACTAACGTCCAGATCCAAATATCTTCTATATCTATCCTCATATTGTCTTCTTGCCCATTGTCGTGATGCACAACAGTGGTGCTCGTCTAGTCTCTTCTGAGTGGTAGGCGTACTGTCCAGCTGTGAGATATTCGAGAGCCATGCCACATCTTTTTTCGTCCGTGCCTTCCAGGTAAATTGAAGTCACTTGACGATATGAACAAACTAGACCAAGGAATATTGAGCGGGTAGTTGGTGTGTGGAACAACCTTCCTCCGGCAGTAGTCCACGACCCATCAGGTACCCAGTTTAGAGCACAATTAGGCGCTTTTTTCATGAGAATCCTCGCGCAGAGTACACAAAGAACTGTATTACACTCTTCTTCGCTCGTGTCTTTCAGGTGAAGTGCAGTCGCTGAGCGACTACAACAAAACTGACCCGAGAAACTTGGACGAAAATTTCGGTCCATACGAAATCCGTGAATCGCTCCCCTGTATCAATCCATCAACTTCGTGAAGGTCATCTATGTTTGGCGAGGTGTTGAATAAGGTATAAGATATCGTTTGTTGTATCTGAAAGCTGTATACTGGAGGGCACTGGTGCAAGGAGTTCGGTAGGACTAACGATTGTTTAATGTAAACTGGATGATGCTTTTATCACAACTTGATAAATAATTCCTTGTTGTTCTCTCTTATAAAACTGCACCCACACATGAAATACCTCCGTTACGACTATAATACTGCATCATTGCAGGATGGCGCTTTAGGTATCACTGATGTGTGTCAACAACACTCGCATCACGTGCACGTAGGCTGCATGGAGACTGCATAATAATAAACGTCACACCTTGGACAAATACGGCGTGTAAGTGGAACGGAAATTAAAAAAACCGTTGATGTGCACATAACCCAACATAAGGTTGAGCTGAAGTAGTAAAATCCAACAGAGCACCCCATTAACTCCCCATAAGTCACAAAAATGACATATCGTAAGGTTGTGGTGAAAGTAATTTTTAAATAAAAGTGAAATAGGAAAGGCATCACTCATTTTACGACTGTGCTATGCGCCCAAATTTTTAAAGGGGGAAGGAGAAATCAGAGACTAGAATAAGCTGAAAGGACAGATAAAAAATACCGACGCCAAGAATTCAACCAGTGTCCACCTGAATAATGGGGTTCCGAAATATTCAGTCAGCATGGCTTCAATGACGAGGAATATCCTATTCTTCGCGGTGTCCCGTTTTCGACCATTGTTCAACGCACTGCCAACCGGTAACTTCATTCTATCTACACACTTGCCCTATTAACCAAAATGGGAATAGAATGATTACGCCGTGTGAGCCTGTATGTGCTGCTACCACCTAGGGATAAATAGTAGTTATGTCGCCGTTGTCTAACGTCGAAATGCGGTTAGATATAGAACCGTCCACTTTTTGCCAATCACGGTTACGTGATGGTTATCCCTCAGTTACTTAACATTAAAACGTTATTAAGAGCTAGTTTCCAACGTCAAAATAGCCAGAAAATGCGGTTGTTTGATGGTTATGATGGTGGGAATTGCCGCTAAAGAAGCATACCGGACGATTGATAGATGGTTATGTGACGGTTATATAACTGGAAATCTAAGTTCTGCCAACAATACCACTGCTGAGAACCATTAAACGTGTACCAAGATCAACCCAACGGAATTCTGCGACCTCTCCAAAAAACATGAAGGAACCCTTTCTATAACCGACCGGTCTGTCCGACAAATGGAAAAACTCATACTGAGTCCCAAGAAGTCATAGTGCTGCCACAAACCGACATATGTAGTCGGTATTTTCTATCTGTATTTTAGGAACCACCGTCCTCAGTAAAATTCTGCGGTTTTGTTACTATTTTGGCTTTTCAGGAATGACAAAAGTCTCTACGACACGTATACTTTAGTTTTCTACCGCAACAGCAAACCCTGCAAATTATTATAGACACCTCACTTCCATTGATTACCTCTCTCACTTGACGGTTGCTTCTAGACCTTGCTCTAAGCAGCAGTCAATGTAAAAGGTGTAGCTATTTACCACAACATGTTTTCTCATGTAATTATGTTCATCTGTTAACGTATCTAGCCAAAAACCTGCTGTCTTGCAGCCTTACACTCAACAGTAAATAAAATTTATTCGTAGCAGTTATTTAACACTCTTCAGTAGTTAGCACGCCTCAGGCGATGACCAACTCAGTGTTTGCTACTCTCAAAGTTCTAACTACGAAGTTCTGACGTTCCATCTTATACAAACGACATCCAGCTACAATCAACATGGCTTCATATGCTTTGTCCTCTTTTACAAACACATCAAACAGCCAAATATTTATTGGTGACCTACCACTCATTGACTTCTTCAGATCGTTCTGAACAGCAAACATGTAATGGCAAAATCAATCAATCATCAATTAGCGCTAGTTTTAGTAACCTTCTATTTATTTTTAGGAAATACGTGACTTTTACAGGAACAAAACTGCGCATGCTGTGTATTCGAACACTTGCTTATTTACGTACGATGAAGGACCTGATAAAAGCCGTTGATCTGAACTTCTTGGAACATATACCATTATAACTGATCTTATAAATAATATTGGATCAAATCACGATGCATGCTGGTTGCCTAGCTGCAAAGCCATTCCGGTTCCTAGCTGCCGTGTTATCCGAAGAAAGCACGAGGTCTGTGATACTGACAGGCTGTCCAATCCTAGACAGAACAAGTCGAGATGCAGAGAATGGGTTCGAACCCTGGACGTTCCGGTCAGTAAATATGCGCTCTAAATACTGAGCTATTTTGCCTCTACGAGGCTCAATAATCTTGCATTTTAGATAATCATCATCAACTCACAGAGCCACAAACAAAGTGGGAGAAAAAGTTGCTCTTTGAACGAGACGGTGCCTGGTGCTATTACAAATAATCTCCTTACAAGTTTCTATGGCTTAGCCTAAAGATTCTTCAAACAAACAATCCCTTTATTCCGCTAAGATAGTGAGATTTAACTCATCTCACCACGGGCCAGGGTAACAACTGATTATGAGGTCATAAACGAGCACGCCGAATAAAGTAAAACGGAATTTTCGAAGTTTAAACCAGTATTGATTTATAACGGCGCTCTGTTTGGGCAGGATGGCTTCATCTTCATCAACCTAGTCAGTGTTGAGTTATGTGAACAAACATACTTCTGAGAATAACCATAATCATTTAACATATCCAGTGGATGATTTTAGATGCAAACCGTTTGTTCCTCAAAAACGCTGCTGCGGGCTTCAAAAACCTTAAAATCAAAACTTTCTTTACTGGCAAAAGAACTAGTGGCTTCGGTAACGAAATAAGACCAACTTTACCACATTTTACGAAAAAAACTGTAAATTACAAGCCAACTTATAGCTCATCTATGCCGTCCAAATTGATAGGTTCGTTAACTTATCAGTTGCAGACGCCTAAACAAAGCGTTTTTTTGATCACGGGGTCATGTCTAACAAACCTGCTTTTGGAAAACTAATGGACTATAAACTTCGACAAAGAACGTGAGGGTGATACAATCTAATCCACCCCTCCAAAGAAAGTTGAACGCATATAGCATGAATACATCACCCGTGGTTTTCTTCTAGAAAGACTCTGCTAGAATCACTATGCTTCAGGTTAGTACAACGGTCTTTGACTTGTCGATCAGCCTACAAGAGTGGGTTATGGCACCAGTTATCTTCCTCGTCTTCATTAGCGACCTACCTACCCAACAACCGTTCCGAATATTGAATTATGTTTGATCTGAAGATCTTGGAAAATCATCTGCATGTCTTTCAAAAGCTGAAAAATAACGCAGACCTAAATATTGCTTACAAGCGGTGAGACGTCAATCACCTGTGAGAAGTGCTACGTTATACCACCGGCCATATATTTTGGGCTCACAATTACTTCCGCATACAAACAGTGACGGCAAGGTATAAGGATAAACAAAAGTCAGTCCACAGGAATGAAGTGCAGTCTACGGTAATCTAGAAGTTGTGCGGTGATCATGGCCTTGCCATCCATCTATGAGCCATCTGCATTTGTTTGCTAGTATGACTAACCTCCGGAGACTTAAAAATATTTTTGCAAACTAAGCCACACTGCTCACCATCGCAACTCCCACTCACGGCGTGTGGTACGCCCCTAAAACTCCCTTTCGATTTTAATTCTTTATATGCCTTCAAAGACCCCATCTTAGCTCAATCGGTTGACCTCTGGAATACGAACTAATCATCATATTCAATCAATAAAGCACTCAACATGCTAGTCGTCTCAACACTATCTTATCAAACCATTACTATATGTTGTGACGCAAGAGAAATCAAGCTTACTGAATTCGCATGAAATCAAACAATACCACTTAGGACAGTATTCTTATTCTCATAAAACTAATCTCCCGTGTGATCCTTCCTTTTTCTTGCCCAGTTGACTGCTTTTGTCCAGGATTCTTATACCATCCCGTGAATAGGGTAACTTCTATTTTACCGAGGCAAACCCAAGAACTGCCTACGTTTCCAGTTTTATAGCCACTCCATGTGAAATTAATTACAGGATCGTCAATAGAACACACACACCACCTACTGAAACACAGAATGATTTACTTACTGCAAGCAAAATTTTAAGGTGCAGCCGATCACTGTACACGTATATAGACACTACTCTGTTGCTTTTCCCAGACTCAACGTTTTCTATTCTCTGCTGATCTTGGAGTATCTTCTAGAGGGTAAAAAGTCCCGGTTTACCAAGAATACCTCGTAAACCCCACTGAAACGACGTTTCCAAAACTTCTAATTGTCTAGATTATTCTCTTCCTAGGCTTTACTGTCAAGCAACCTAGGGACTTTCTTTGTTGCTAGGATGGTTCTTAAAACCCCTTCTTGCGTGAAACTATTCTTCTGAACACGCCATCATTGCGGATCAGCCTCTGGTTGCCTGTTGAAATTTTGCCACCACGTTTGTGAAGCTAACTCGCTCCATCCTAGAGTATGTCAACATTTTCTAACCCCTCTGACTTGAGTATGATGAAATTCTATTTGATGCGTTTCAGTTTGAGGCTATTTAAACACCCCAGGTACTTTATAACTCCCCGTGCGCCGGTCAGCTGACTTGTCCGAATCATTTCTGCTTAAACATTGCCATTTTGTAGACGCCACTCATACACTTTTAACCCAAACAGCGCCCAATTTTTTTGGTTAACTACTTGATCACCTTCGTAAACTTATGCGATTCCAACGGAGCAAAAGTTGTTTTGTTGTTTTAATGTTGAGTGAACTCTAGGAAGCAGCTGCCTTAACCCACTTGCTGCGTATTAATCGGCAAATTCTTCACAGAAATCTTGATGCACGGGTTTGCTCGCTCATCAAGGGATTGGCCATTGTCTAAAGTCAGCCATCATCCATTAAGACAATTCAACCATCAATAATGGGCTTATTTTTGTGTTTTTTGCGCAGTTTCCCACGTTCATAC